AAAGGATAATAATGAAGAAAATAATAGATTACAGGGCCTGGGATTTAGCTCAGTAGTTTTCCTGCCTGCTGCGCAAGCGCAAGGACCCGAGTTCAATCCCCAGTACGAAAAAAAAAAAAAAGATTACAATTCATATAATGAGATATATCCCTCTCATTTAAGAATAGGGTCTCTGTTATATGGATGTGGGAAAAGGTAAGGAGGCTGCGTTTTAAACAGGGATAAAATAGCTATAAAACACTATATAAGAAAGCTAAAACTCAATTTTAATAAAATAGACTACATAAAGTTTAAGAAATAAGCCAAGTCAGGCCAGGGATTTAGCTCAGTGGTTCTACTGCCTGCCTTGCAAGTGCAAGGTCCCGAGTTCGATCCCCGGTATCAAAAAAAAAAGAAAAAAAAAGAAAAGAAATAAGCCAAGCCATTTGATATTAAAACAATTCAGGAAATGGATTCATCAAAATGATTAGGAAACGCATGTACAGTGAAAAAAAATATATATATGTAATTGAATGACATACATTCAGTTATATATACAGCACAAATTATAACAGAAAAAAATGACTAAAAAAGCCAAAACAATACATTACACATTCAGCTTTTGAAATATCAAAAGTGCAAAAAGTTAATGAAACTGGAGGGATTTGAATAAAAATTTGAATACATTTGAGACAACAAATTCATTTACAATGTTAAAACCACAGAGAACAAAACTTTCATGAACCTATGTCGCATAATTTTTATCTGGATGGGTTTTACTGTGAATAACTTCTGTACTCCAGCTCAGGCCCAGCACATGGCAATCTTTCTAAGATAAAATTGCAAATTATATCAATTTAAATTATACACCTAATACAATATTGCCTTCACCATAAATGTGATTTGAGGATGAAAGAAATATATATGTACTTCATGTAGTGCCTAACTTGTGTAGGAAGTATTTTCAGTGTAGATAAAAAAATTCAAAATTGACTCTTCATTGGATAGTCTTTAAATCTTACAATTAATTAAAAAATCTTAAAAATGGATTGAAAGTTTAGTAATTTAAGCACAGAGGAGGAGGCTTCTGGGTCAGTGTGCCACCTCTCACAGCACAGAGGAGAAGGCTTCTGGGCTAATGTACCACGGCTCCCAGCACAGAGAAGGAGGCTTCCAGGCCAAGGTACCACTGCAAGTAGACAAAGGTCTATTATTTAGAATCTATAAAGAACTTAAAAAGTCAGACCTCCCATATATAAAGACCCAATCCAAAAATGGGCATCTGAAATGAACGGACATTTCTCAAAGGAGTAGAAATAGCAAATAAACATATGAAAAAAAGTTCAACATCACTGGTCATTTGAGAGATGCAAATGAAAACAACACTGAGATTCCGCCTTACCCCAGAAAGAATGGCTGCTCTCAAGAAATCAACCAATAACAAATGCTGGTGAGGCTATGGGGAAAGAGGAACCCTGCTCCACTGCTGGTGGGAGTGTAGATTGGTGCAACCACTGTGGAAACAGTATGGAGAGACCTCAAAGAACTAGGACTGGAAGTCCCATTTGACCCAGCTATTCCCCTGCTGAGTATCTTCCCCAAAGAATTAAAAGCATCATACCACAGTGATATATGCTTGCCCATATTTATAGCAGCATAGTTTGTTATAGCTAAAACTTGGAAACAGCCCAATTGCCCATCAACTGGAGACTGGATAAAGAAAATGTGGATTTTTTAATAAAATGGAGTACTACTCAGCCATAAAAAATGAAAAACTAGAGACATTTTTAGCTAAATGGATGCACATTGAGGCAATACTCTTTAAGTGAAATAAATAGGGCAAACTTGTAAATACTGAATATTTTCCCTAGTGTGAGAAACTGAAAGTGTAAATAAGGACTAAAAGGTATAATGGATAATGTGAAACAGGAAGAAAAGAGGCAAAGGGGAAGGGGAAGTGGGAGGGCTAGGGGAAAGGAAAGAAGGGAATGGAATCAGTATGAGAAAATGGAAACAAAGTCTTTGTAAATAGGGAGGGATGTAGGGGTTGAAGGGAGGGCAGGGGAAGGGGGAAAATAAGAACCAAGAGAGATTATGTAAAGGCGCAAATTTCCAATGATGAATATCATTATATTGTGTACTTAAAATGTACCAATAAAATATGAAAATCTTAAAAAAAAGTTTAGTAATTTAAACATAAAATGGATACATAGCATTTTTCAATGTTTTCTATGTATTAGGGTTATTCATTAGAAAACATAAGCTAATAAATATTTTAGTCACAACTACAATAAATATAAAAGTATGAATAGAAGTATGTTTTGTAAAAATTTTATGGCTCCCAAATACAGAAACTGTATGACATTGATAAAACAAGTACAAAGATGATGGTGAAAATGGTAAGAATGAATTACCTTGAATATTTTCTTGTGCTAAATACTTAATTTATGGTATTTTCACGATTACTGAATGAAGTTAGACCAATAGTTTTCATTCAATCTTGAAATAATTCAAGGACTTCTCAAAATCTGTCTATAGCAATAACACACTCCTTAAACTTGATCTGCTATCAATGACTTGAATACAATCTGTTCTTATAAATAGGTATTATTAATAGCTCAAATATGCACTAAATGCAATTCTGCTAAAATGCAAATTATTTTAAATTCAAAATAAATTTGAAAGTATTGAGTAATATTAACTAAGAGATTTTTAAAAAAGTTGTAGCCCTGTCAGGAATTAAATCCTAACATGCAACAAACATGCGATAACAGAATAAAAAGAAGTATCCAGTTAGAATGGCTATAATAAAAAAGGTGAAAAATAAGAAATGCTAGTGAGGATACAGAGAAAGGGAAATCTTACACAGTTCTGGTGGGAATATAACTTAGTATACTTAATATGGAAACAGGATGAGATTTCCTCAAAAAAGCTAAAAATAGAACTATCAGATGATTCAGCTCTGTATTGAGTATATATCCATGGGAAATGAAATCAAAGATTTAAATCTTGTCATTTATAGAACTATGGATAGAACTGTAAGATACTATACTAAGTGAAATAAATGAGGCACAGAAGAACAATCCCACATGTTCTCACTCATATGTTGAGTAAATTAGTGGTCACTAGTGAGCTAGAAAGGGGAGAGGGTGGAGTTAGGAGATGTTGAAGGATGGGTAACAATATACAGTTAGATAGGAGAAAAAAATTCTAATGTTCTACAGCAATGTAGCATGACTACATATTTTATAAAGCTCCAGAAGAGAGGAGTTCAAAGCTTCCCAACACAAAGAAATGTTAAATGTTTAAAAAGAAAAAAATGCTAATTACCATGATTATCACATTTTACACTGTAAATATGATTATTACATCAATTAAAAAATTAAAAATACTTTATCTCATAAATATGTACATTTATCAATTATATATGTAAATCAATGGAATAAAAACAATATGAAAAAGGATCTAGTATTTATAAATATGTACTATATAATCACAACAATAAACTAAATAAAAAAGAGTAAATTATTATTTATAAGGAATTTTGTTATACTTTGAGTCCCATTGATTAAATATCGAGGAGGCTAATAATTTCTTGATTTTGCTTTAGCCTTATTGTCTGTCCTATCATGAATTATGTGTGAGACTTTTTTGCCTGAAGTAACAATACAAATTAAAAACATGAATCACTTTATATTGAGTGTCAGATTGAACGAGAATAGGGATGCCATGAAGACTTGAGGGTTCAGCATTTCCCCTTCTGCTTAAATCCAATCATTAACACCAGTTAAAAATGAAAGGACTATGACATGAAATTAGGAAAATGAAAATGAAAAAACTAACTTTCTGTCTTGACCTTACATGGATGCACCGAAACAGTGTTTATCACTTTGAGTGCATTTTTAAAGCAAGAGATTCACCTTGAGTTCTAAAATTTAAATATAATGTATAAAAAGTTAACATATTATATAAAATATCTTATTATGAGTGGGTAATATATGTAATACATTCTAAAAGACCAATAAATAAAATTACATACAAATATTCTATTGCTTTATATTAAAATTAAAATGTTAAAAGAAAATAAAATGATAGTATTTACACCAATAATGGCAGAATGGTCAATTTTATGTTCCATAAATGATCCTATGTCAACATCTCTATTTAAGAATGGTTGTGCAATTACACTTCCAGACTATTCCATAGACACTGGAATATATATTTGGATAATAGAATTCTGCAACCATACTAAGATTGAGTTGGACTCCACCAAGTAAATTACTTAGGATCCTGGTATTTCAGTTTCCTCATTTCAAAAGTAGTGCTGAAAACAAAGTATAGTATAGGCTTTTTAATGTATAAGCTTATATAATACAGTATTTTTTATTAAGAGGAGAATGGGGAAATAATACTTAGCAGAATGATATTGCTAGAATGTCTTATGTGAGTTCCCTTTATTTGGTGTGGTACCTCCATGGATGATAGTTCCCAGAACATAAACCTGAATCGGTGGAAAACATTAAAAGTTTAACTCAAAAGTATCATAGGTAACCATTACATTCCATTTTTCCATCAGCATAGTACATCTCACCTTGTACTGCCTTGTGAATAATATATACAGACATCATTTTAATAACTATATAGTAAATATCTAATGTTTATATAATAACCAAAGCAAAATTAAAATGAAAATATAATTACCACATCAAAAATTGAAAACATATATCCTGTCATATATTCTAGGTAAATAAAATAATGATGTGTGAGCTTATATTATTATTTTATTTTTATTTATTTATTTTTTTGGTACTGGGGATCAAACTCATGACCTTGCACTTGGGAGGCAGGCGCAGTGCCACTGAGCTAAATCCCCAGCCCCTTATATTATTATTTTATAAAACAGAAAAATGTATGTGTTGCCACACAGAAAAATGTCTTTGTCATAATAATTTTAGGAGAACAAAAGTGACTAGAACCCTTAGGAAACAAACTTTTTCCACTCTATAATGGTTTTATAAATGTCATGGAGAGGGCCATTTTCCACATAATATTCTTTTCACAGCATCTTTCACATCTCTGTTTCTCAGACTATATATGAGAGGGTTCAGCATTGGTATTATAAGAGTGTAGAACACAGCCACAATCTTGCTTTGCTCTGGTGAGGAGATGGCCCTGGGCTGAGCATACATGAAGAATACAGTTCCATAGAATAAACTCACTACTGCTATATGGGAGCCACAGGTGGAGAAGGTCTTACTCCTGCCTTGGGTTGAGGGAATCTTCATGACAGTCGAGAGGATGTATGCATAGGAAACCAGAATTGCAGCTGTGGTGGTGATTATGATAAGAGCAGAGAGAATAAACAGCACACTCTTGTTCACAATGGTGTCAACACAGGAGATCTTGATCAGTGCTGGAACATCACAGAAGAAGTGGTCCAGTTTATTTTCTTGACAGAAACGCAAAGTGAAGGTGAAGCTGGTCTGTACTATGGCATTGATAGATCCACAGATGTAGGATCCAGCTACCAACTGAATACAGACTTTTGGGGACATATGCACAGGATAAAGGAGAGGGTAGCAAATGGCTGAGAATCTATCAAAGGCCATTACAGCCAGAAGAAAGCCTTCAGTTGTGACAAACAAGGCAAAGAAGAAAAATTGTGCTGCACAGCCATTATATGAAATCTTCTTTTCATTGGTCAAGAAGTTGGCTAAAGTTTTGGGTGCAATGACTGTGGAATAGCACAGATCTAAATAAGACAAGTTTCTAAGGAAGAAATACATGGGTGTTTGAAGTCTAGAGTCCACCTTAATGACAATTATCATGCTGACATTTCCCACTACAATGACCATGTAGATCAACAAGAATACTAAGAATAAGAGGATCTGTAGCTTTGGAGGGATTTTAAATCCCAACAGAATGAATTCAGCCACCTCTGAGTAATTCCTATTCAGCTCCCTCTTCATACTTGAGATATGGGTAGAATTGGAGGATGGTAAAGATAAAAGATGTAAGTGATTAGAATACTTATTTTAGTAAAAAGAACTGGTGAACAAGCATGGAAGAAAATGTATTATATTGTTCTCAGCATTTTTTACAAATACCAGTGAATATAAATAATGGATTACTATTTTTGAAAAGTCTTCTGAAGAGTGCATTTTTAAAGCAAGAGATTCACCTTGAGTTCTAAAATTTAAGTTGTAAGCCTTTCTAGACACTAACCTGAGATAGTGCAAATTGACTCTGTAAATGTGCTTTGTGGAAATGGAGACTTCAGGAAAAGGCTTGGAAATGAGAGCTTTGGTTTTTGCATTTTTTCTTGACTTTATTGTCAGATTATTTCCATTCAAAATGTCCACCCTTACTAGAAGGTATTTCTCACAGACTTTATAATCTAGTTAAAAAACATGCAATCTACTGAATGTAATAATTTCAGAATTTTAGCATGAAACGAGTTTAATTGATAGTCTCATTTTTAATGTTTTTATTTTTAAAATTTGTTATATAAAAGTAATATATAACATTACATCTATTTTTCTTACATTATTAGAAAAAGTCTTCAGATCCTGACAAAAGCTATTTCCTTTTGCACATTAACCTCATATCATTATTTCTTCTGTTATTTTTGTCTTTATAAGGACATAAATTTTACTGGCACAATTAAATTCCTAAAAATGGTACTTGTTTTGCTTATATTTCCTAAACACAACGAAATCAGACTTTTATCTTCCTTATTACCTTTTTCCCTTTGTATCGTCCAACTTCCTTTCTTCCTTTCCCTGTTTTTGAGCATAGAAATGCAAGTGGAGATTTCTAAAATCTTGGGCAAAGATGTTTTTTTCTTTTTAGAAAGAAATTTAGTTAGAAATGGAAGTATATAAATGCACAGAAAATTAGGCATATAGAAAAATTTAAAGACAGCTAGAAATGAAAACAATAAAAGGAAGAAATATGTATTTGTTTTAATTATATTTTAAATATGTGCTCTTTTGATTATAGAATATTCTTAAATAAAATACAGTGGAAGAGTAGAGAATGAAAGAAATTTTTATTTTAATCTTATGAATTTGGAAATTAAGACAGCACAATGCAGATTTAAGTGACTAAGAGTTTGAAATTAAGCAAGACACTAGTTTACTAGTCAATAATCTGTCATAAATGAAGAAAACTGTCAAACAATTCAATAAATTACATCATATGAAAATGTCTTTTGTAGTTGTATGATTATATAAATTTACCCTTAATATGTTTATGAATTTAATACAGTGAATGAATTAAATTTCAAATTTATACAGAAATTATAAATGCCCTTGGCATTTTCTGTTGTCATCATTATGAATGGTTTCATTAATTTTTACATGTTTTTAAGGCAGTTTAGACCATTGGAAGTATATTCGAATCAAGTTGGTCAAGGTTCAATAGTCAACTTTCTTGAAAATATTCAAAGGTTAACAAATACACTGACCAATTGTTTTTAAGGTAGAGGAATGGTGAAAATAACCTCTGGCAGAGCCTCATAACTTAAATGCTGCATGTTTTTCTTAAATTCATATTTTAAATTAACAAGTCCCCGGTATCAATAGGGATATTGAAAAAGGCTAATAAATATAATTAAATCAATTTAAAAGAAAGGAGTATGGCAAATAAATTAAACATGATGTGTTGTCAAGAATTATTATTACTTCTTATCTTATTAAGCATTATAAGATGTCAATTCAAGTTCATTCATGAAAAGACAAAAACATGAAAAGAAAGGACAAACCTTTAACAGGAAGTTTTTTTGAACTATAGATTGTATTTTTTTGATCTTCAGATCATTATTGAAATTTGCCAACATGAACAAATACTAGCAAAAACTTGTAGCTTATATCTTATTATTGTGTTTTAGTTGACTGCAATTTCTCATTGATTACGCTAACAAATAGACCTGAGGTGAATCCTGAGAGAAATTCTCTCACGGGGAGGGAAGCCAAACTGGTGGGCAATCCCTCTACAAGATATTCACTAGAGATTAATGGGCTCTCTCATCATAATGCAGAAAGAAAAATGAGAGAAAAATATTAATTAGTAAACTCAACAGACCTTGGGAAAGTTTGGAGGGCTCTTTGGAGGACATGAGAACCAAAATTTTACACAGCATAAACACTTGTTTATTTATGGTATATACAGAGGGAGAGTTAGTAATTTTACTTGAATGGATTACAACCCATGTTTTAGATCTTTTTTATTTCTGTTTTAAATAAATCATGCAGGTATTAGAGGAAAGTTAATACAGAGAGCAAGTAATGGTCAGTGGGAGTGGTAGAATAAAAGATGGTGGTTATCAAAGTAACACAGAGTCTATCAAGAGCAAATAGTCATACCATAAAGTTTGTAGCCATTTTATAAGTAAAAACATGCTTTTTAGTTTTCTTGGTATATCATTTTTATAACTGGACAAGGTAGAATTTAACTTAATATTTTCCTTTGGGCCTGTTGAAGTAAAGGGCATAAAAACTGTTTTAGTAAAACAGTGAACTAAGAATGCATAATCTCTTATCATTAGTAGAAGTACAAACTGAAGTCAGTATGACTTCTGACTTACAATATTTAATTGTTTTGAAAATGTGTTCTTAGTGACTTGATTCTGGGCCAGTAATCCTTGAATGAAAATCACAGTGCTACACGTTTTTTTTTCCTGTCCCATGTTGACTTCAATTAGGAAACCTCAATAAATCATTGATGTTTAGTTGCATTTCATTGCTTATTTTTAATATTTAATGTTATTGATTATCATATTAAAAGATGGAGAAATGTATTTTGTACCCTGTTTCTAAAAACCAAATACCCTAGAGCTGCCATGAGCACCAAGGAGGTGAGCTTTCTGGACAGCCCTACCACTGCCCCAAGTGTGGAGGAGCAGAGCCACCCTCAGTGCCAAGGAGGTGAGCTGAGCTGACACCAGCAGCACAGCCCCCTTCAAATTAGAAGACACTTAAACAATCCTCAAAAACAGTCTTCCAGATAACCTAGAGCAACCTCAAAGGGAAACAATATAGAACACACTAATATTCAAACACCTGGAATCCCTGAAACAGCAAAAAAAGAGGATCTGGAAAAAATGAAATCAGAAATAATTTCTCAGATAACAGCAGAGATTGTGCCCATAGTGCAAGACATGATTAATACATCTAGAGAGGAGTGCAATGACTGTGGAATAGCACAGATCTAAATA